AGGACTTCAAGATCCCTTTCCACTTCCGTGCCACCCAGCAGGTCATTTCCTAGGCAGTAGGTATGCTGGACATTTTTGCTCCCTAGGTGCAGCACTTTGCATTTCTCCTTGTTGAACTGCATTCTGTTGTTTTCTGCCCACTTGTCCAACCTGTCCAGGTCTGCTTGCAGCTGTTCCCTGCCCTCCGGCGTGTCCACTTCTCCCCATAGCTTTGTGTCATCTGCAAACTTGGACAGAGTACACTTCACTCCCTCGTCCAAGTCGCTGATGAAGACATTGAAGAGTATCGGTCCCAGGACCGAGCCCTGCGGGACCCCACTGCCCGCACCCTTCCAGGTCGATACCGACCCATCCACCACGACTCTCTGGGTGCGACCCTCCAGCCAATTCGCCACCCACCGGACTGTGTAGTTATCCAAGTCACAGCCTCTTAGCTTGTTCTACCCGGGGCTTCAAAACCACCAAGGATGGAGAGTCCATCGCCTCTCTGGGGAGTCTGGTCCAGTGCTTCACCACCCTCCCAGTGAGAGTTTTTCCTACTATCCAACCCCAACTTGCCTTGCTGCAGCTTGAGCCCATTGCTCCTTCTGCCATCTGCCCCCACTGAGAACAGCCCAGCTCCACCCTCTTTGCAGCCCCCCTGCAGGGAGGTGAAGCTGCTATTCAATCCCCCTTGGTCTTCTCTTCTGCAGACTCAACCAGCCCATTTCCCTCAACCTCGCCTCACCAGTCCTGTCCACCAGCCCACAACCACTTTCGTTGCCCTCCACTGGACTCTCTCCAATGTGTCCACATCCTTTCTGTAGTGGGGGCCCACAGCTGGACACAGGACTCCAGATGTGGTCTCCCCAGTGCTGAATAGAGGGGAAGGATCACTGCCCTCCATCTGCTGGCAACGCTCCTACCCGTGCAGCCCAGGATGCCGGTGGCCTTCTTGGCACCAAGGGCACACTGCATATATCTACCTAAAGATATAGATATATATTTTAACAATTAAAAATAACCAAGGGCACACTGCTGGATCCTATTCAGTTAGCATCCACTGCTCCCCCCTCCCCCCCGCTTTCCTGCAGAGCTGCTGCCCAGCCTGCCCCCCCAGCCTGACCGGGTGCAGGGGATTGCTCCCTCCTCAGTGCAGGACTTTGCACTTGTCCTTGTTGAACCCCATGAGATTTCTTTTGGCCCAATCCTCCAAGGTGCCGAGGTCTCTGAATCCCAGCCCGACCCTGCCGCGGATCTATATGTACTGCTCGGCCCGGCTGGGTGTCATCCGTGCTTGCGGAGAGCGCGCCGCATCCCATCTTCCAGGTCACTGATGAAGACATTGAACAAAACCGGCCCCCGGACCGACCCCGGGCGCTGCACTTGGCACCGGCTGCCACCTAGACCACGAGCCATCGATCCGATCCGGCTGTCTGAGCCAGATGCTCCAGCCAGTTTCATCCCCCATCCAGCCCGGACTTCCTCGGCTGGCCTGCGGGCAGGTGCACGCGTGTGCATGTAGGCATATGATGTATATTAGGCACGTGTGTTTATATATAATATATATATACATATATGTGTGTGTGTGTGTGTTGGTGTTATATGTGTGTGTGTGTGTGTTGTGTTATATTATATATATGTGTTATATATATATATATTATATATATATGTGTGTGTTGTGTTATATTATATATACGTGTTATATATATGTGTGTGTTGGTGCACGCTCGCTCACGTGGGCGCAGCTGAGCACGTGGCCGGCTCCCAGGCAAAGCCACGTTCGCTGCGCGCACGAAAGAGGTTTGGCCGCTCTCGGCCACCGTCGCGGAGGTGGAGTTGGCCCCGCCCCTTCCCCCTCAAGCCCGGGAAACGGCTCCAGAGCCGCGTCGAATCTCCCGCGTCCTCGTTCCCCGGGCAACCGCGCCGACTTCCGGTTGTTTCCGCCAATCGCAGCTTCCGCCTGCAAGGCGCGGGCCAATCAGTGGCAGCCCCGGAAGTGGCCGTCCCGGAAGCAGCATGGAGCGCTTGTGGGCCGAGGACTGCGCGCTGCTGGTCCGCCGCTGGCGGGTGGGTGTGCGCGTGTTATGCGTGTGTGCCGGTGACGTCAGCGCGCGCGTGCTAATGCCTGTTAGCACGTGCCCGCATGAGGGTGTGTGCGTGCTAGTGTGCGTGCACATACCTGTATGTGTATATTGGTGTGTGCTCGTGTGTGCGTCAGCGTCTGCTAGTGTGCAAATGCGGACGTGTTGTACATTAGCACGGGGGTAAATGCGTGTGCTAGGTGTGCCGGTGCGTGCTGGTGTGTAGGCGTGGGTCTGTTCAGGTGTGGGTGTGCGTGTTAGTGTGCTAATGCGTGTGCATGGATGTGTGTGTTAGCTTGTGCTAGTGTGCAGGTGTGTATAGGCATGCGTATAAATGCATGTGTTCGCATGTACATGTGTGCTAGGTGCATCTTAGTGTGCTAATGTGTGTGAGAGCTAAGTATGTGTTAATGTGTGCTAGTGCGCGTGCATGTGCTAGCATGTGTGTGCCCCTGCATGTGTTAACATGCACGTGTGCTAATGTGCGTGTAGGTGTACGTTAGCGTGTGTGCATGTGGGGGTCTGTTCAGGTGTGGGTGTACATTAGTGTGCTAATATGTGTGCACATGTATGTATGTGTATATTAGTGGGTGTTAACGTGTGCTAGTGTGCATGTGCGTGTTTGTGTGCGCGTGCATCTGTATGTGTTGGTGTGCACGTCTCAGTGTGTACATGGGGGTCTGTTCAGGTGTGGGTGTACATTAGTGCGCTAATGTGTGCATGCCTATATGTATGTGTATATTAGTGGGTGTTAACATGTGCTAGTGTGCTTGCAGGTGTTTGCGCGCACACGCACCTGCATGTGTTGGTATGCACGCATGTGTGTGTGTGTAGGTGCACGCCAGCATGTGCGGGTTGGGGCTGTGGGTTCAAGTGCCCATGGGTAGTGGTCATGTGGGCGTGCACATTGGTTTGCTAGTGCACACACGTGTGCAGACTGCGTTCGCACTGCAGCCTGCTCTTCCCCGGTGCGTGCCGCGCTGGCTGTGCCCGCTGCGCCGGGGCGGTTTCCTGAAGGCCGAGGCCGGGCTGGTGCCAGCGACGGGCTTCACCTCCCCCTCGCCGGGAGGTCTCCGGCAGCCCTGCCCCAGCGCGTGACCGCGGCCTCCTTGCAGGTCGCCAGCTCGTCGGGGCCGGGCCGCGCGGCGAAGCAGGCGGCGCTGCAGCACCGACGCGCCTTTGAGAAACTGCTGCAGAAGATCCAAGGTACCGCGTCGCGCTCCGCCCGCCCCGCGCGTCACGAGGTGCTGCCCGCAGAGCGCGGAGGGAGGCAGGCGGGCGCCGGAGCGCTGCTGACGCACCCCCGGATGCGTGCGGGGATCGGTGTCGCTGCAGCGGGGGCCTGCCGGCAGAGCTGCTTTGTGACAGGGGAGTTGGACCGCTGTAGCCAGAGCAGCAGGCTCGCGGAGGGCAGCGTTTCTCTACCCCTGGGTCGCGACCCAAAAGCGGGTGGCGAGAATACATGAAAGGGTCGGGACCAAAAAAGGATCCACCCGCTTTAAAAATGCATTCTTCTTTAAAGGAGAAAACCCTTTAAAGGAGAAAAAGGTTGCGGTCCCTGTCTGCACCGTCCAGTGGAAGTGGAACAGCAGGGATTGCCGGTCGAGGGGCAGCCATCGTTGTGCCCGCATCGGGCCTGTCTCTGCAGGTGCAGCCTCGCGGCCTGTTGAGACGCACACGTGTGCAGGTGACGAGAGGAGCCCTGGAGCCGGGTCCTGCTGTCACAGGCTCAGCTGGGCCCTAATGAGGTCGTGTCCCCGCCCTGAGCTGCGCCTGCTCCTTTTCCTAAAGGACGTGGCTGGAAGCCATGAAGCAGCCTCCTTTTCCTCTCAGTAGCGAGGGGAGCTGGAAGGAGCAGCAGCATGCTTGCTGAAGGGTCTTCTGGAGCTGGGGAAGGACAGATGGTATTAACTTCCCTGCTGAAGGAGGGAGGCTTGGGGCAGGGCAGCAGCTGGTGGAGGAGCTAGAAGCGACTTCCTGTAGAGCAGGGATGTCAAACTCATTTCGGGCCCCAGACTGGATCCAAACCTCAGGCCTGTATTTATGCTGCCCTCGCTTGCCCTCCTGCTGCCCGTCGGGGTCCAGGGACCCCGAATTCTGCATCAGGCCACGCTCCAACGGCCGTGCCCTGCAGCTTCAGCCATGCCCGATGGAACAGTCTTGTGGACTGATTCCAGTCCGTGAGCCACATGTTTGATACCCCTGCTAGAGAGAGAGTGCTGGAAGGAGACCTGCCCAAAGGCAAGCACGCTGGGAAGAGGCAGTAGCAGCATGGGTTGGCCAGTGGGATAAAGCAGTTGCCATCCTAGAACGGTCATGCTATACCCGTACCTAAGAGATGATGCAAAATCCCTGCCATTGAGGGGACAAGAGCTGCACCAGGGAGGGCAAAGCCCATTGGCGACTTCCCAAAAATCAGAGGGGACGTTTCTGCACCAGAGGGTCAAAGCCTCTGGGTGTCTAGTCTGAAGGAAGCTGCGGTGTGGCCTCCTAATGCAGCACTTCCAAATGCTGGAGAGGAGATTGACCTGGTCAGAGCTTTTCTTCTCCGGTGAATGTAGGGCTCGGGGAGTGCGCTGGAACCAGAGTGGGATGAATTGGGCGGCAGGGCAACCTGGTGAATCCTTGGCATCTGGGTCAATCAGGCGCATTGTTTGATGCTCATCTGCGTTGGGCCCGTCTCTGACTGCAGGGCTGCCAGCTGTCCTCCCCACCCTGCCTCTGGAGCTGACTGTGCTCTACAACGCCCTGCTGTTTGATCTTGGCAGCTCCGACTGCATCGTCGAGGGAGAAGCCGAAGGCATACGCCAGGGGCTCTTGAGGGGTAAGGAGGACATCCCGGTCTCAGAGATGTGGTGGGGCTAGGCTGGCCGGGGCAAAGTACAGGTGGGGCTGTGCATTAAGAAGGCGACTTCATGGTATCCGGTGCAAATGGCAAGAGAGCAGAGCTGACTGGGCATGGGGCCGAGTGGATGTGGCATCTGCGGTATCCTGGAGCCTGCAGGGCTGGGGCTCCGGTCCTTGAGGAAGAACAACAAACACAGCCAAAACTGTGCTGAAGGGCACTGGCGAGAGAGGGAAGGGGTGTTTGTCTGAGCTCCTTACGGGGACTTGGGAGCAGAGGAACCTAGAAGAAACGGGCTGAATCTCCGGAAGGGAGGAAGTGGGATACTTGCTCTTGGCAGGAGAGAGTGCAGGAGGAGTCTGCAAAGCCAGGGGTGGCTTTGGCCAGGATCCAGTCAAAGGCTGATCTCTGTGGTGTGAGCGCCCTTCGTTACTCCGGTCCTTTCTCTGCTCACCCCCGTGGCTTCTGTTCTTTCTCTCAGCTTAGGCAGATAAAGGCTCTTATCTGCCTTTCCCAGAGCCGGTGGACGATGGGCAGCTCCATGAAGGGCTGTATCTTTGTGGGGTGCTCTGAGCTGTTGCAATAGCCTTGGCTGCCTTTCCAAGTGATATATGGCCTCTCGGAAACACAGGGAAGTCTGGCTGGAAGGGACCTGCAGAGGTCACGTCTAGTCCAACCCCTGCCTGATGCAGGATCAGCCCTGTGCAAACCAGGCCAGGCAAACCCATTGTCCAACCTCACGTGATCAGCCCTGACACAACACAGACATCACACCCAAACCTGCCGCAGGGAAAGCAGAGGGGGCCGTGTCCTGATGCTGCAAAGGATGCTAATATAAATGCAAGGGATCCCAGGCAGAGGCTATGCCCCTCTGCTACAGGGGAAGGCAAACCCCTCCCCACCCCCCAAGTCTGTACCAATCTGACTGGGGGAAATTCCTTCCTGACCCCCAAATATGGCAGCCAGTCTGACCCTGGGCAGAGGGGCAAGACCCTCCAGCCAGGACTGTCTGGGGTTGGTGCCAGCAGGAGCATTGGCACAGCCCAGTACCATCCCCAGCCTGGGCTACAGCAGCACCAGCGCTTTAAAACACCAGGCTTTAAAACAAAAAGAAGAGAAAAACCAAAAAGCCCTGACCCATAGCAGCTGGAGGGGAAAACATTCTCCCCCAGCCCCATGTGATAATCAGCTTTTGCTTGTCTCTCCCTCTTCTAGTGCTGGAAGCTGGTGGGGTGTCTGGGCACGATCTCAGCACCGAGGAGCTCTGGCAGAAGGTGCTGCAAGAGGTGCCTGCCGAGGAGCTGCGAGCTCCACTGCATCGACTGGGCGTTCTGCAGGGGGTGCTGTGGCTGGCAGCGAACCGCCTGGGCAGCATCGCCGGGCTTCTGCGGCTCTTGAGTAGTGCCAAGGTACAGAGGCAGCTGCAGGATGCTGCTTGTCCTCTAGATGTTTGTGCTGCCCCTCACCTCGAGCATTCTTAGATTCATAGATGTTAGGGTCGGAAGGGACCTCAATAGATCATCGAGTCCGACCCCCTGCACAGGCAGG